TCAATTTGAAATTTGTTATAGCTAAAAGATCATATAAATATTTACTAAAATCTAAGCATATAAAGATCCTAGGAAATGTTTTCACTAATAATGAGGATCCTATTGCTAAAATCCAACTAGGATAGGATAATCATCATGCAGATTCAATATACCAGAAGTCCATGTAAGAAACTACCTTCTTTGCTCATAAATCAGAGATCTTAACAGAACATCACACACGCCCACTTCACCTACAAATCAAAAGACATTTTTACTTGGAATGATGAACAATGCCATCACTATTAAGCTGAGACATAGAATCCTGTAATCATTTATAAACAACAACAATTAAGGTATATTTTCCAGCCACTATGAATTGATTACTTAAACTTAACATAGAAAGTTTAAATCAAAACTTGCATCCTTAGCAGTATACTGTGTAGGTTAGAACCACAGTACTATTAGAAAGAAAATAAAGAAAAGGAATAGGACAAATCATCTTTAACATGCCATGAACTGGGCTATTCACTGGACCTAATCAAACAAAGCACCAAAGTGTAGCTTGTCACAACACAATAACATATATATCATCCAATATATAATGTTACCAAAAGCGAAGCAGATATTGGCACTCACACATCTCAAACTTATTCACGGCTATAACAGTTTAAAATTATATAATCTGGTACGATTAGGTACATCAAAAAAAGATCAATTGAATGTGTGGATAATGAGTAGAAAAGTATACTATCAATAAGCAGAACCTATAAGCCTCCACAAGAAAGAAGAGAAGTACCAAATGAGAATACTCATCTGATATATCAAAAGCATGCAAATAATTAAGAAGAAACTATTAAGTACCTAAGCACATTGATCTTCACAAGGACTCAAATTATAGCATTCCCTACTAGTGTTAGATGTGTGGCTCCTGAAGAAGACTGTCATATTACAGGATTCATCAGTTACGCTATTTATCATAATATTATGGAAGTCATGCATGTTCATACGAAGTCCTGTCAGCTTGGAAAAATATGGACGATCGTTTCATTATCCTTACTTCCTACTTTGCACCCAAGTCTATAATGATTATGCACTTCCTCGGGTTCAATCATGCACTCAATATATCAACTTTGCGTTTTCTAAGGATGTCATGAAATTTCCTAGACTTATGTCAAACTTTCTTGGCCTCGAAACATCACACGAATCCACCGACATGAGTTTAAAAAAGGTTTAGAGACACCAAGTTGTAGTGGTGTTAATGAGTACTTTTGACTTTTTGTTCTTTATTCATTTTTCTCTTCCCTTTTTCTTTCTCACGAATGTACGTTTCCACCAAGTTGTGGTGACACTCATGACCCCTTTTTTTTTTTTCCGTTTTCCATTTCCATTCTTCTTTTCATGAATATGAATGTTTCCAGTGATGGATTTTGTCTGGTCATTATGTATATTCATGTGTCAATCCTGCACAAACATCAACTATGATCCAAGTGAATTAGACCACAAGTTGTTGCAAAATCTAGTGCTCCATATTGAAATAACCCAAAAATGGGTGGATTTTTATTTTCACTAGATCAGTTGCAGTGTATCTTTGAAAATGTGATGTACATACTTACTGAATACCTCTTGTTTGGTTAAGAAATCAAGAAAAAGCTTACAAGAGGTACTTTTTGCTATTAAACTACATTCTAGAAAAGTAGAAATTACAAATCTAAAAGAAGGTATCTAACGTTTTACAGCATAATACAATGAAAACAGGAACTGACCTGCACTGAAATATAGAATCACTGCAAGAAAATAGAGAACTATCAAAAGTGCAATAGTTTATCAGATTATCTTTGCTTTTAATATCTATTACATGAGAGTCATGCATCTATTAACTTTGTTTTGGTTGACATCTAAATGTAAATTACAGCAACAAAGATTTCCAGGGTAGATGTTCACAGAAAGAATCCCAGTGGTGAATACACTATAAAGAACAAGGAAGAAGCAAATATGAGCATATTTCACATTAGGCAAAGAAAATCTTGGAACAACATAATTGATCAATTTGTTGCATAACAATAAAGTGAAAAGAATACATGGAAAAGATGACTATACTGAACCACTTAAATCAACTAACAGAGATAGACATGGGTAGGTACCGATTTAAGCCTTACATCTTTGATAAATACAAGTTTGTTGATTACCTTGTAGCAGTTGGGCATAGAATGTTCCCTCGCTTCTTAACCTTTCCTACACGAACAGAAACAAGAGGAACATACAAGCACCTCGCCAGCATCCCCACTTCCGATGCTTCAAAATGCTGGTCACAGATAGGATCAACCACAACCAAATTAATTTTCATTTGAACATAAAAGGGGATAATATGGATATAAAGAACATAATCAAACAGCAAATAAAAGCCATCCATCTAGGTTCTTGCATATTTTCATACAGTAAAAACAACATCCTAATCATATAGTACAACAAAGTAGCGGTATTAATTTAACAAGAATACGAAAAGATTAACAAGAATTACAACTTTTTTTTAACCGAATTAGAATTAGTTGCTGGACCTATGAGATATAACGTCTTTTTCGACCTAAAGTGTGGTTATGATAAGGAGAAAAGAGAAGGAATAGCTATTAGATCAAATACATATAATAAAAAAGTAGATCCACCTTGCGCGTAACAGAATTTGCCAAGATTAACGAGGGTAAATAATATGAACCTGGCTTAGCTGAGCTAGGAGACGTTCTTCAGCGGGGCCGCTGGAGACGTTAAGCTTGAGAAGAGGCTTTGACCTCTCAACCGCACGGCAGGCGCCGAGAACCTGCAGATCCAGGGCATGGAGCCACTGCAGCACCCCGTCCTCCCCGCCGCCGCTGCCCTCGTGGGAGATATCGCCATCCGATTCTCCCCGGAGGAGGCGTCTCAGCCTCTCGACGACGACGCCGCCGCGGCCCAGGGGATGATCTGCGGCCGCGGCCGATCCGGATCCCTCGTTCTCCCTGTATCCCTCAGCGGCGTCTCCGTCCAGCGACCGATCCGAGTCCTCGTCCCCGTCCCGGCCGAGACCATCTTTTCTCGAAGGAACCATCGTTAACGTTCGATGACAAGACGAGACGAGATGAAACGCTTCGCTTCCTCTTCCTCTCTCTCTCTAACACCGGTGGATGGTGATCGGCGGAGGAGTGGGTGGAGGAGGAAGAATGGCAGGAACGGCGTGGAGAAAATAAAAAAAGGTGCGGATTCGAGGCGGCGTTATGAACCAGAGCTTTATGGGACGTTTCCGGTCCGCGCGCGTCGTCTCTCACAACCTGGAGGAGACGAGGGGTAGGGTGGGGACAGCGACGTGGCGTCGCGGTGGAAACCACATGATCTAAAACATGCCACCCAACAAATCCACGTACGTTTGTTTCGATTGGAGGGAAGCGGGGCCTTTTGACGTGGGTCCCACATTTGGATCGACTATTTTTCCCAGAAGATTTTGACCGGTCGGTTCACCCTTTTTTAACTTGTCGGTCCGGTCCGACCATTTCATTTCCATGAATGAAATTGTTCCAACCAATTCAGCAAAGAAAAGGGATGAGAACAGTACAATAAAAAAGAGTCTATGTTATGTAGAGACATGATAGTGGTTAGTGCTTACATTATTTTTTAAAAAATCTTAAATAATTTGTGTTAAATATTCTCAAAAAAAATATTATTTATTTTTATAAAATATACAAATAATTTGTGTTAAATAGTACTCGAATATTTTTATCAAATTTAAACCTCTTTTTCAATATTTATGCAAAAGAGATAAAATAAATAAAAAAATTCAATGAATAAGTAAAAAAATTCAATTTTTGGTAAAATGCTTTTTTAATTTTAGACATATCAATAAAAAATAAATTTTAATGTAAAGGATAGTTAAATGAATTCTTTTATATAGGACTATTTTCAATATTTTTCGTCTATAATCACTTTTAGAATAAGAAGTTAATCTTAGATAACACATGGGTGGATGGTCGATATGGTCAATAAATTCTTTATCTATGATCATTTTATATTTTTTTTATGATATATAGTAATATTAAGAAAAAGAAACTTATGAAATATCAATATAGTAACTATCGCAGGAGGTCGTCTTTATACAAATTTTCTTTGACTCTCAATCCTATTAAATATGGTTAAAATCTGCTAAAAACTATTATAGTGTATCTAAATTAAGAATTTCCGAGTAGTTCCATTTAAACTCGATATGTCGTGAGTAAATTTTTTTAAATAATTTTTTTAATGTAAATCAGTTGTAAGTGTTTTTTTTTTCAGAACAGTATAAATGCTTGTCCTTCAAAACCTCAAACTTGATGAATTGATCTTAGATGGCATATAGTGAAATTGCCCAAAATTTCAGCTGATTTAGATCGCTTATATACATTTTGGATACTCAACCCTATAATATAAGGAGAGAGAGAGAGAGAGAGAGAGAGAGAGAGAGAACATTACCGGAGACAAATCGAAAATGGATTTATCATCCTTTATTATATCATTAAGGTTGATGAGTATTTAAATTAACTATATATAGGTTATAGTGCATTTGAATGGATTTAGAGGGTTTTTTTTTTACTAAACTAAAACACCTGTTTAAAAAAATAGAAACTAATTAAAAATACTGTGTTTTGAAAAGAGGAGATTTTAGATATATTGAAAAAAAAATAGAGTCTCTTTACTAGAATAACAATAATAAGGAACATTACCGGAGACAAATCGAAAATGTGTGACTCATATTTATTCTTTTTTTGTTGATTGTTGCATCAATCTTTACTAATTAGAATTTAGTTACTGTGGTGTATATTATATATAATTTTTCTATGTTATCATGGATTATGGGGATACGCATTGGATACTACTTCATATCATTAAATTTATATGTTATTTATTCGTTTATTTTATCAAATAATTTAATTTTTATATTTGTATCGGAAGCTATGCCTACTAAATTATGATTTTATTATAATTTTTATTAAAACAATAACTAGATTTTAAACAATCCCAGCTCGAGCTCGATCCGGAAATGGATATTTAATTACGAAAATATAGGAGGAAAAAAAAGGGTGCGGGGGGAAATATGAAGAAAATTGAAGGCGGGAAACACGGACTGTTGGATCAAGACGCGGCCAACTCGATGGTGCGCATCATGTTCTTGAACTCGAAGAAATCCACCCGTCCATCGCGATCCCGATCGACGGCGGAGATCATGCGGCGGACCCCGTCGATGCTCCTCCCGTCGAGCAGCCCCAGCTTGTCGAGCACCGCCTGCAGCTCCGCCGCCGATATGTACCCGTCGCCGTTCTCGTCGAACACCCGGAACGCCTCCCTCATCTCCTCCTCCTCTTCCTCGGCCTTCGGCTCCACGGCGGAGCCGTCGCCAAACAGGGCGATCCCGAGGGCGCAGTGGAAGGCCTCGAAGTCGTCGAAGCCGAGGCCGGCGCGGCCGGGCCGGACGTATGCGGCGACGGCGCCAGCAAGCTCGTCGAGGTCGGCGCCCAGGCCGAGGCGGTCTAGCGCGAGGTGGAGCTCCGGGACGGTGATCTCGCCGTCACCGTTGCGATCGAAGAGATCGAAGACGCGGCGGAGGCGAACGGAGTTTAGGCTGGTGGAGCGGAGGCGGAAGGAGGGCGCGGCCGTGCGGGCGAGCGCCGGCGTGATAACCGGCGGCGTCAAGTGCGCCATCTTAGTGGGATCTCGTCGCGAACTAACGGTTTGGCTCATTGCCCTTTGCCCGATCGCCATATTTATAGTGATGCGGTTTTAATCTGTTGTGGATAAAACCAATAA